TACAAGGCACCTGGGCACTGCCATCTGTGGCTCTGGAAACTGAGATTTCAGGTTGCTCCAAATACCCGAGTCCAACTGCAAGCAAAGAAGAGAGATTGCCATCAACAAATGACATCTGAAGAAGCAACACTATGAAATGACTTCAATCCCTTCTTTCCTCATCCCTTTCTTAGCTGGAAGTGATGGGGAAACTCACAAGCCCAGAGGAAGGAGAAGATGGCTGCTTTCAGAAGTGGTACCATGTCTGCCAGCTGAGCAGACAGAGAAGGTGGCAACTTATGATCTGGGGTGGGGGAGGAGGCCCTGGGCTCCATGACAGGAGGGGGCAGAGATGTCCTTGTGTCTCAGACATGAGGGGGTCAGGAGATTTCATGGGTTTCTTCATGATCTGCTCTGTGGTTTCCTGCCCCACAAGAGCTGAGTAGAGAGAGTAAGTAAGGGAGTAAGGGAGGTCTGAAGTAAGGGAGTAGAGAGAGTAAGTAAGTAAATAAGGGAGGTCTGACGTTCTCCATCTGAACCAGTGGGTGGGTGCAGTGTACATGCTTGTAGTCCTAGCTATAGGAGAAACACTAGAGTTGGACATGGTGGCATGTGTATGCCATCTCCAGCTACACTGAGAAGTACAAGAAGGAGGAATGGAGCCCAGGCTTCCTGGGCATAAAGCAAGACCCTATCTCAAAAATAACCTGTGCAACAAGGGACAGGGTTATAAGTCAAGTTGTATAAGGTCCTAAGTTAAAGTCCCAAGTTCAGTCTCCAGTCACACACACACACACACACACACACACACACACACACTTATCAGAAGTAATATAGATGAGGATGATATTCAGACTCTCACAAAACATAGGAAAAGGACCAATGGATTATGTATCTAACTTCATTTCCTGGGTTTGCTTTGCTTGCAAAACAAACAAAACATCTTTTTCATTTATCTCAAAATTACAGAATAAACCATGGATCCTTGATACAGGAAACCAAACAACTGAACATATGGATTCTGATTTCAGAATGTTTGAACAATATGCACAGGAGACATGCAAAGGAATCTGAATACTGTTCAGAAGTTTGCTTAAACACTACTATTAAAAATAGGCAACGAATGAGATGTACAAGACTCTATGTCAAAAAATGAACTTTACAACTTTGCAGGGGGGGATGGGGTGGGGAGTGAGGGGGAGTAATGGGAAGGGATGGGAAGGGAAAACAAGAGAAGAGACAACAATGCTTGATAAGAAATGTACTTGTTATCTTGTCCATGTAATTGTAACCTCTCTGTACGGTATTTTCACAATAAAAATTAAAAAAAATAGGCAACGAACACATTGGATAGTCTTATTTAAAGAAATCAAATAAGAATACATTGGCATTTTGCTTCTTTGGTCAAAGACACAATTTCTCAAATCCTGAGCAGGGGCTTTAGCCCACTATAGTAAGTGGTGTCAACTAGCATCTTGGGATAATCTGGCCTCTTTGCCTTGGAACGGAAATGGTGTACTAGTTCTTTGATCCCCCTGAGACAAAGAAGCAGTTGGAGATATTTGATAAAAGTGGCAAGACCACCTGGGTCTCCCTTGTCCTATCTGCCCTGTAACTGCTGTGTGATGTAGATCAGCATCTTCAGCTCTTCCTTCTTCCTCTATCTCCTAACTCAAATGTGACTAACCAGAATAACAGTGCTATGGGCTAAAGAGCATACATACATAAAAAACAGAGATCTCTAATGGAAAACTCTCTTTCTCTCTCTCTTTCACAAACACACAGAGAATACAACTGAAATATCATGAACTATTTTGTTGAGCAGAGCTTTGGTTGTCTCTAAGTGCAAGTTATTTCATCTCTGAACAAGTTCAGGAGAAGAATTTTTATGACCAATTATGTGGCAGCCAAGGGAAGCTGAGCAGAGGGATGTCACCTTAGACTCTCTCAGCACCTCTACCCTGAGAAGCTCACCATAGCTGGATGTCTCTGAGAAAGAAAATAATAGACCTTCCTTCTTGCTGAGATAGGCAGTTTCAACACAGTGTCCATGTGCAGACCCAAGTCAACAGGAAATGATACCAACTAAATATTTGGGGGCACTGGTACTGGCAACTGTGGGGTGCTGTTGATGGTCATTAGATTCCCTTTCTGGTTTCCTGTGATACAGAGATGTAACTCTAAAAACACAGGAAGTGCTGCATCCTGGGGCTGAGAGCCAGCAGACCTCAGAGCGAGACTGGATTGTTCCAGTTGAGGAGCCATTGGTCATGGATATGTTAGGAGATGCCTGTGTTCATGTCCTTGGCCCAAAAGGCATGGTAGAACTCCAGGGGAAACCTATTATTGTATCTCATCTTTGTATAAGTTTTACATTAAAGACCAAAGGAGAAGAGTCAGAATTTTATAGACCCATTAGAGTTATAGTTGTGTATTTTTCCCTTTTTTTCTTGAAATCAAATTTTCAGAAGCCCAATTTGAAGCTTGTCAGTGCCTGACTAGATATTCTAAATCAAAGTCTGTTTCTTTCCTGCAAGTACGCCAAACGTTTTGCCCACTCCAACAGTACATATTCCATTCCTATAAGAAACCAAGGAATAAGTAGCATTACTAAGAAAATCAAATTACTAAGAGAGAAGATATCGTGTGTGTGTGTGTGTGTGTG